GCACAAAAACTCTGGACGTGAGAAATGCGTTAAGCTCCGCAAAGTGGGCAAATATAATCAAAGCTCTATACGAAATACGCACTCCCCATATCTCATAAATATATTATAATGAGCTATTTTAAAAATCGTAGATTGTTGTTCGACACAGACGAGGGCACTCAGAGCTACACTATCTCGAGTGGAGTACCGCAAGGCTCTTAGGCTCTCTACTATGGAACTTGATGTACGACGGGGTACTAAGAACACATCAACCAAAAAACGTAAAAACAATAGCGTATGCGGAGGACTCCATAGTGGTTGCAGTGGCTAAACATATAGATGACCTCAGGCTCAAATGCAACGATTGCGTAAATGGTCTGCGCCAATGGTTTGCTACCATGAGTTTAGAGCTGGCAGAGCAGAAAACGGAAGTCTTGCTCATAAACACAAGGAAGGTGGAAGAAACGTTAACACTCACCATAGGAGAGTGCGAGATTACTTCACAGCAGCAGCTGAAGTATCTGGGAGTAATACTAGACTCCAAATTAAAATTTAAGGAATACCTGGCGTATACTTCCGGTAAAGCAAACAAAATTGATAACGTCCTATCGAGAATGATGGCCAATAAAGGCTGCGTGCGTTCCAGCCGGCGGTTTTTAATAGCAAAAACAATGAGTTCCGTGATATTATATGCAGCACCAATATGGATACAAGCGCTAGATATGAAATTATTCCTCAAACTCTTCATTTGGACCTCCCTACATAGAAAATGAAATGTTGACAGCAAAATTACTATTCATTGTAAAAATATTTCAACAATATTTTCATTCATAAACGCAAGTGCATCACCAACAAAGAAAATTGGCAGCTTTACAGCTTTGCTGGAAAAATTCAAAAAATTAAATGTGCGAAAAATAAATTTTAGACCGGGAACTCGGGCATCGTTCGACCCATTTGTGTAAGCGATTCGCATTATTAAGTGTTAAAACTATGGTTGCTTAATTGTTGTTTCATTGGCTATATAAGAAGATGCAAATTCCAATAGAAATATCATTATGCTCATACCCCAGCAGACTTTTCGTTCCGAGGAAACAATTTGTTGACATCGACGCCTATTGCGGGCGTCATTTTGAGATAGTGGTAACTTGGTTTGAAGAAATCGACTGTAAAAACTTTAGAACGAAAATCGAAATATCGACGAAGTTATAGCACCTATACGTGAGCGTCTCGTAGTAGTAAGCACTGTTATTAAATAATATATTTAATCTGTTGTTTAAACTTTCAACGCGTTTTACTCGCACAAAAATTTTCTATCCCACCGATTGTGCTGAAATTTTAATATGTTATCATCAAAACCTCTCGCAAGAACTAGGACCTGTTTTTTTTTTATCGCTAACTTTCCATTCCTACTTAAAAAATTTAACTTTTTTCGAAGTCAACAATTTTTTTTATTATTTTAGAACGAAATTATTTGAGCATAGTTCCAACAAGAATGACAAGCTCACAGAATAATAATTTTTTTATTTCTGTGTTTCAGATGTCCATAAGCGACCAAATAACCGGGGCCAGCCAACCCCTTTTTTGTTTTGAGGATAGTAAACAAAATTAATTTTTTTGTATACTCTGAAATACTACTAATAATACATTACAAAATGAAACTATTTGAATTTTATTTTTTCCAAACAAGATATTCCTAAAAGCATTAAAAAAATGCACGTTACCAAACTAATACTTTAAGAAGAAGTGCTATAAATGTTAATTAATTTAATAATGTGTGAAAATATGTATATGGAACTCACGGAATTAGGAGAACAGATCTACAATTTTGGAATTTTGCTAGTCTAATATTATATAATCTCACCATTTAGGATTGTATCTATTTTTGAGCAACAAAAAAATTGCTGTGTTTGATTCGCATTTCTTCGCTCGCAATACTTGCGCGCTGCTCTCTTATAAAAAGTTTACATGTGAAAGCAACTACAAAATTATCGAGGTTAATTGAGAAATGTACATTAAACCCACTAGGGTTGCTGTAGTATTTTTCAGGTCTACTTGCCTTGGCTGCCATAACATGATTTCGCTTTGCAAATCTTAGCATAGTATAAATATAAAATAAAAACACTGCAAGAATATGTCAAATAAAACATAAATAATTTAATTAAAAATACTATATTCCTATGTATCAAATGCCTCAGTTTTAGTAGACTAATAATGACCACTTTACCGGATCGAAAAAATTTTTTATTAGCTATCTACTTATTAAAAAATATATCACAATAAAACAATTACGATATTATTGGATCAATTTTGGTAAAATATTCAATTCGAAATATTAGGAATAAATAAAGTATACAAGAGTTTGGAGTTTGAATATAGTGAATAATATTCAAACCCTAAAATTCGCAAAATATTACTATATTGAGTAGTTGACTCATTTTGACCTTCTGTTCTTACGTGATAACCAATATATTATTATTACTGTTAAATTTAATGTTACTGGCGGTTTTTAATAGGTATAATTGTATTTCCTTTAATAAATAAAATAAATAAATGAATTCAAAATCAAACAATTAAAGTAAGAACATTATTAAGATAATGGTATCCCCAGGTAAGGCCGAGAGGTTTTTTTTTGAAATTTTAATTTTTAGTTTTTTTGAGAAACACTTTGAAGAAAAACGCGAGCTTTTGCGAAAAAATCGGCTAATTTGTCATTGTAAAATAAAAATAACACTGGTTAACAAAATTTTAACATGAATGACCACTAAACTGTAATATGTGAATAAAAAAAATTTACACATAGGGTTTTCATGTGTCATCAAAACATATATTTTCTGAAAAAGTACAAACATCAACTACATTTGATGAAATTATTGCTTAGTATAGAAAAAATACTTATGATTTTCGTGAATATATATAACTAGACATGCTTTTAAAATGTAAGTAGCCGGTTGCATTCCCATTTTTAAAATTTTTTTTTTTTTTAATAACAACATCATATATGAAGGAGCAATAGCGTTAAGCAGGTACTTGGATCATTCTCTTTTTATAAACTGTTAAAGGTACATAACTTACATATAATACATACATATGTACATATGCAATCATACAAAGCGAAATTATGTATTTAGCGGTATTGAAGTATTGTTAGGAATATTATTTAAGGAGAAGAACTTTGAAAATAAAGTAATTCTAATGGTGGACCACCTCATAACGTCATTAGTCGGCCCTTTGCACTGAGTGAAACGACGAACTGCAACTTCGCTTGCCCTTTTTGTAAATCCCCTTTTGACGTTTTTTTAGGACACACAGTATACGCGATCTGATTCTATTCACGTTTTTGTTTTCTATGAAACGGTTTCGATATAAATTTCAAGTCTTTAATTCGGGGGCACAATGACTTTTCACGCTAACTAAAGTTTTGTTTATTTGTTCCGACATGTACAAGTAAAACTCTAGAGTTATGAATTAGACTCTACTTTACACCTAGCTTTAGTAAGTTGCGCAAGTCCTGGAAACATGTCCTCACTCATGCTTCAGATAGTGACCGATGTAAAACCGTACAACGTATCAGCTAATACGACCTATCTTATGGGAGCGCAACGTAAATGAACACTGCTTCTATCGTCCGTACGGTGGAATATCCGCGAAAATTGGATTTTCCCGAGTCTGCTGATTTCTCTCTTACAACGCAGGTCTCGATGTTTATAGTAGTTAAAAAATAAACTTTAATATATTTATAATACTCTTAAACTAGCTCAAGATCACAGTCGAATATAATTATTTATAAATATGTAGACTATTTTTAAAAGTTGGATTTTAGAAGACATTAAGAAAAATTATAACTGAAAAGCTAAATGTGTGCAAGACCATGTATACATATTTAGCATGGCAACATTACTCAAAGAAACTAAAAGAGAACAACTGATTTCTTCGCTGTCACTGCGGGCATAACTTTTGACCAATTTCGTTGAATACAGACGCTGAGTACGGAAGGGCGGAATGTCGGTCACTAAATGAAGCATCAGGTGTGAGGTGTATCATTAGCGAATAGGATAGGATAGTTACTATATGAAGTTAATCAGAAAATGTCATGCTGATCTAGATACTTCGGCAGCAAGATTGACGGAAGTGTTCTTTCCATTTGTGGTATATGCCTTGACAGACAAATAGGTGGTTCTGAACTGTAGAATAGACAATTTATACTTACAAATATGGTAGTTATTTACAATTTATCATCAAATGAATACGATTCTGGCCTTTACTTCTACAAAATACTTTGTAGGCTTACCTGTCCCAACTCTTTGCAGGGCTTTGTAATAACACAGTTCTACCAAAACAAAAATGGTTTTTGTTGCCCTGGATATCTGAGCAAATTTTGATGCTTTTGAGGGTCCAATTTACAACCTTATTCTTGAAAGTATTGAATGTGTTCTTATTATTGTCATAATTGCATATTAATATTTATTATCGGCTTATTAGTAACAAAATAACAGTTACAGTCATGATTAAGGTTCTGCGTACCTTTTTCTCGTATACAAACATCACGCGATCTCAGGCTCCTTACCGAAAATATGCGGAAAGTTTTAAGGTTTTCCTAAAAATCAAACGTGGAGACATCAAGAATTACGGTCTAGAAAATATCTTGTTTAACTCAGTGAAAATGTCGATTTAGTTTCCCACATGAACTACTCAGAAACAAAGTGAATAAGAGGGTGGGATATCTTCGTGTAGATCTTCTCAAATGAACTCAGTGATTTAACAGAATTGATGTTTATACTATACATTTTGTTTATTCATATTTCAAGAGTAGATAAAATAAATTAAAAAATATATTTCATAAAGTTATGTGTCCTTGTAAAATTGTGAGAGAAAAACTTCAAGAACTAAACAATGACAGATTCTTGATTACTACCAATGAGGTTATCTTATAAACCAACAAATTTTACAATTTTTTTTTCATAAAATGGCCGCTACTCAAAGAAAGGTCAATTTTTTTCTCGATTTTTTATAAACTACACAAATTAGAAATTTCCAGTTTTTATTGCTTTTATTATTCGTGCCAAAAATCAAGTAAGTCGACTGATTAGAACTAGGTTATAACTTTGAAATTAATTTCAATTTCAAAAATTTGATAGACGAGAATACTTCCTTAGGGGTTAATCTAAATCAACTGCATTCAGAACGTGTTGGAGTTACTTAGAGTTCAAAATTTTACAGAGTTCCCCCAAAAACGCGTTTTTTAAATCGGTGCCTTTCATAACTTCAAAACTACTACACCGATCCTATTTAAATTTTAAAAAATATTTCTATATATAATTAACATGAAGACATATGTTATTTTTATACTAATGATTTGTACCGACCCAAAGTATCATATGCTCGGAAGTGATTATTATTTTTGTTTGACTCAAACACACAGACCCATCTTAAATAGTGCCGTATTTTGTAAAAGCTATGCCGAGAGATGGCAGTGGATTTGTATATCTAAACGAAAATATTTGTAGGTTCACAAATACGCCAACTGATAAAGGATTAGAGTTTTGAAGAAAAACTCACCTGGAAATGTTTTGTGAACGTTCTCCAAAATTTTGTAGGAAATCGAAATGGAGCGCAGAAATATATAAGAATATATGGCCTAAGAATGTAGTTGTTCTCAATCGGTGACCCAACACCAAGTTTACTCAGAGAGCTGTATAAAAAAAAGACATCTAAAAAAATTTCAAACGAAAACCAGTATTTCAATAAACATTAAAAGAAACCACAATTCAGCACCTAACCTCCATACTAACATTATAAAGGCACTTAACCAATCATTATGAAACTGTGTACACATATTCCTTATACTATTAGAAAGGACATAGGATACTTATTATTAAAAAATATATATATTTGTTACAAATTGATTAAAAAAACGTGTTTTGCTGATTGCTAATGAAATTTATTTGGCAGAAATAATAGTTCGTCGAAAAATTTCAAAACAAAAAATACATCGATGGCATGTTTGTTATACATATTTTTATACTCTCGCAACCTGTTGCTAGTTTTATTCACCTAACGGTGGTTTGTATCACCTAAAACTAATCGAGTTAGATATAGGGTTATATATATATAAATGATCAGGATGAAGAGACGAGTTGAAATCCGGGTGACTGTCTGTCCGTTCGTCCGTGCAAGCTGTAACTTGAGTAAAAATTGAGATATCTTTATGAAACTTGGTAGACATGTTTCTTGGTACCGTGAGACGGTTGGTATTGCAGATGGGCATAATCGGACCACTGCCACGCCCACAAAACGCCATTAATCAAAAACAAATAAATTGCCATAACTAAGCTCCGCAATAAGATACAAGACTGTTATTTGGTCTCTACCTACGGTGTGAAAATGGGTGAAATCGGGTGACATTAAATTTTATCTCAGGGATGGTATGAGATGACTCTATAGGAACCGCGTTCAAAATTAACAAGTGGGCGTGACACTTGTGACCAAAAATTCTCTAAATCGAACCAAAACTGTTCAAGCCCCTAGGTACTGAATATGTGGACCCCAGTACCTATAGTTGACTTTTTACCGTAAATATCGGCCATTGTGATATATAATTAAAATTCATATAATAGAATAAATAAATGAAACTATCGATAATAGTATGTCTTTGTTTCAAAAATGGGTTGAATCGGATAAATAGTTCTTGTAGCCCTCATATATCTAATATAAATATTTTTGAACTTCCGCGTGACTTTATACCGCATATGTGAGTTATCTCAATGAAAATCAGAGAGCGTGTTGTACTCATAACAAGATCAAATCGGGTGAAAATTTTCCTTAGCCCCCATGTAACTAATATCAGGATTTTCGAACATTCGTCTGACTTTACTCCATTTGATTGGTGATGGTATATGAGGTACCTTAATGAAACAGTGGGAGCATTTTATTAGTCTGTGGCATGTTAGTAGTATGTGGTATTGGAAAAAATTAATAAAATCGGGTTAATACTACCCTCAAATTCCATATACTACTTATAATGCTTTTCGTTATTCTAACCAGTTTTATGCCGAATATGTCGGTCAGTGAGTATTAATATTTTTTTTTATATATAAAATTGCTTCAAAATATGTTCTCGAGTATAGCTGAGCAATGTCGAAATTAATATATTTCTCTATCCACAATATATATATGATTTCCGTCTTTCCACCTGACTTTACACCGTTCCGGTTGATCAACGTGATATTTTAACGAAATTAAGTGGAAAAGATTTCTTAAAAATTATGTGGTTTGACGCTGAATTAGAATGAAATTATTATATACTAAGTCTAAACCTTACACCTTCATATAATGAATTCCGATTCTCTGGTTGACGTTTGCCACCTAAGCTTATAATATAAAATTTAGCCACTTTGGTGGAGTTAATATCACATTCATACTTATGTATATCTCACTTCAAGCAATAAAACTGAGACTAAGTTTATGGCCTTTAATATAAGTCAAGAAGATACCAAATTTGATTGTAATTTAACCACGATATCATTTAATAATGGATGTTTAATTCAACATTTTTTAATATACGGTTTGGAGGAATTTTCTGGTCTTTGATTTTCCCAGCTCACATGTACTAGGTTAGGCTAGGTTAGGTGGTCGATTCTAAGAAGGATCACACTTGGACAGCTTAAACGCCGATCCGTTGTGGTACCCAAAACTCCTATGAGCCGGATCAATAGACCCTTACATGTCGACAAAGCGCTTTGTGCCTATGAAAAACTTGTTGAGACGGCCAATATCTGTTTCGGCCAGATCTTCTGGTCCGCCAAAAGTGTGATTGCCGAGATGTTTCAATCTCAACCTAGCAAAATCCGGACAATGGAGGAGAAAGTGCCGGGATGTTTCCACTTCACCCTCCTCCATACAGCTTTGACAACTGCCAAAGTAATATTCTAAGCCGCACCGCATGAGTTTCCATTGGACAGTGCCCAGTGAGAACTCCTACCATGGCGGCGAGGTGAACTTTGTTCAAGGCGAGAAGATCCCCCGACCTCCTGCGATCCGCTCTCGGCCAGAAGGATCGCGCAGTCGCGCAGGAGCTGGACGTCGACCAGCGCCTGCTGAGCGCATGCGAGGTCCATTGGTACAGAGCCAGAATGCAAGACGTTAGTGGAGAACCAACTCGATCCCATTCCGATGTGAGCGGGGCAAGGGAACCCCCCCTTGCCAGCTCATCGGCCTTGCAATTCCCAGCGATTCCGCTGTGACCAGGCACCCAAACGAGCCTGATATTGAAGTAGCCTGATGCTAATTCTAGCGAGGACAGACACTCCTTGACTAGCTTTAAATGCACGGTTCGCGCACTCAGGGCTTGTATTGCCGCAGCAGTATAAGGCGACCGATGCCTTCTTGACTCTCTCCTCGATGTTCGGCCTCCAAAAAAGCTTTCTATCAAGGATGAGCCCTAGGTATTTCACCTTATCAACAGGTTGAAGACGTTAACCCCCGAAGGAGGGGAGAGGCACCTTTGGTATCTTATACCTCCTAGTGAATAAAACCATTTCGGTTTTACTTGGGTTGACGGCTAGGCCGCTTCTGTTTGCCCAGTTGGATACCACGTTTAGGTACCCTTCGGTAAGCTCATAGACGGTATTCAGGAATTTACCTTTAATCATAAGAACCACATCATCAGCATAGGCTATCACCCGACAGCCTTGCTCCTCGAGTTCTATAAGTAGGTCGTTTACAACCAAGATCCAGAGCAGTGGGGAGAGTACTCCTCTCTGCGGAGTTCCCCTATTAACCTTTCTGGTTGACTTGGCACTACCCCACTCCGCTACGACAGTTCTGTCACATGTACTACTTATGGTATAATTTTTTTCGTCAATTTGATAATTTAATGAAATTAAATGGACAGTTTTTCTTAAAAATAATGTATATCGCTGCATATGAATGAAATTGGTCTAGACTTTATTTAAACCTTATAACCCTAATATACTGATTTCCGTTCCTCTGATACAACAGCAACCTCATATACCCCACATATTAAATCTAACCCCTTTGGTTCAGTTTATATAACATATACCATGTTTGAGTTAAATAGCTTCTTTTTATAAAAGTTAACATTTCGGAGAAAAAAAAAGTATTGACACAAAATAAATCTATGATCAATAACATAAGTTAATAAGATACCAAATAATAATCGAGTAATGAATGTTGAATTCTTTCGCAACATTTTTATACTTTCGCAACATGCTGCAACAGAGTATAGTTTTGTTCACCAAAGAGTTGTTTGCATCACCTAAAGTGATAGATATAGATTTCTATATACATATATTTCTTCTAATATTTGGTTATAATCAGTGGTTAGGTATATTTTCTCAGCCATCATGTTGAACTTATTATAAAATATACCAGACAACAATGCTAAAAAAGTTTCTTAGAGTGCTGGACTTTGTATAGAGCAAAAAAATCTTTCTAGAAAAAATTGCATGAAATAAATATTAGTAATGTAGTATCAAAAGGGCTAAAGACCCTTTTTATGTGGTTATAGATAAACTGCGACCCCATCGGTTTACATGCTACTGTCTATTATTTCAGATTGGCGACACATTTTAATATGAAGGTCATGAGGTGAACTGTAAACTCAAGAAAAGTTTAAAGTTTAATAAGTAAACCTTATGAAAAGTTTAGATATTAGGACAGAGAGAAGAAAATCTACATACCTGCTCTACATATGTGTATACCATACTTAATTATATGTAAGTTATTGTTAACTTAGCCTTCATGGGTAGACCCTTCAAAATAGGTACCATAGATCCCCCTGTTTTAGAAAGCGTTTAACAAAAGTAATTTACGGAGGGGTTTTCCGAGAACTTAATTTAAATACAATGAAATAAACTACTAATTTCTAAAGTATAAATATAACTAAATATATAACTAATATATAGGTATACAAAAGTACGTAAGCTGTACCAACATGTTGCAAGAGTATAATAAATATCAGTACACTGTGTTTGTAGTTTCAGTTTCACTAGATGTTTTTACCAGCAAAGTGCTTTATTCAAACTAATTTTAGTGTATTAGTTATATAGTGTTTAAAGTATTATGATATACAGTGACGAGAAAAACCGTATTATATACAGTGGCGAGCAAACACATATACATATGTGCACCAGTATACCATAGTACCTATACACGGAACAGGAAAGAAGTCATAGCAAGGACTTACAAGGAATTACAGTGAAAGAGAGCAGCACCTAGGATCCAACTTTTAACACCCGGACGGACTGAATTATATAAGTATTATCTATAAGTATTTTATATATTAATCCATTTATTATAAATTAATTATGCCTAGATTAAGTAGAAAATCTATATTACTAAGTCGTCTTCAGAATAGAAGACGTATGAGAGTTCTTCGTGCAAACTCTTTATATAGAGATAGTGAGCAGTCACAAAATACTGTAAGTCACTCTAATCGTAGATTAGATTCCGATGTACGTCTGTTCGAACAAATTATCAATACAAATCAGCATAGAACCAGACGGGAAAATCTCGAGGTACGGTCTTTTGAACAAAATTTAAATACTGTTCAACATAGACCAAGGCGGCAAGATCCGCAAATTCGCTCTGAAGAGCAAATAAGAGATACTCGAGGTCATAGATTTCGTCGAGAAAATTCAGAGGTACGTTATGATGAACAAAGTAGGAACACTAGGGATCATAGAGAACTTCGCGAGAGAAATCCTGAGAATGGGAATTTAAAGCGCATTCGTGATCAAATGCAAAGGGAACATGCAAGAAGAAATCCTGAAATAAGGAGAAAGGAGCGTGATAGAGAAACACAACGTCGACAGCTTAGTAGGAGGGGTATGAGGGAAGAAATTTTGAATCAGAGACGTCTTAGACAAGGTCAAGTTCGCCTTCGTAGAGATAACCCACTCAATAGACAAATTAAAAACGAAAGGC